CTACCGTAGCCAAGTCAGACTTCCCAAGGTACGGGCGCAGTTGGCGCACGAGTTTTAACTGTGCGAATGCTCACCGCTGAAACCTGGCTCAACGATGAGTCCAGGATCACACCCAAACTGCGAACCTGTGTCTTCAGGGGGAGTGCGACCCCATCCAACACAGGCTGTAACCCTATACCCTGTTCGGCCTTACGACTGACCAGGAGTACCTCTGTCTTGTCTGGATTCAATTTCAATTTGTTCGCCCCCATCCAGACCGTCACAGCGGCCAAGCACCGGTTCAGGACCTCGACAGCCTCCTTAGTAGCAGGTGGAAAGGAGTGACAGAGTTGGACATCATCCGCGTACAGATGACATCGCACTCCGAAACTCCGGTGTTGTGCTGGAACACCTAGAGATTCCTAGGGAGATCTTCTGAAATGCCTACAGAAGTTGACCATAGCGTTGTGCTGGAAGACCTAGAGATTCCTAGGGAGGTATTCTGAGATGCCTAGAGAAGTTGACCATAACATTGTGCTGGAAGACCTAGAGATTCCTAGGGAGGTCTTCTGAGATGCCTAGAGAAGTTGACCATAGTGTTGTGCTGGAAGACCTAGAGATTCCTAGGGAGGTCTTCTGAGATGCCTAGAGAAGTTGATCATAACGTTGTGCTGGAAGACTTAGAGATTCCTAGGGAGGTCTTCTGAGATGCCTAAAGAAGTTGACCATAGCGTTGTGCTGGAAGACCTACAAATCCCTAGAGAGGTCTTCTAATCAAATCCAGAAACCCTTAAATGTGAGCCGACTAGGGATTAAAACCTGGAGAGGTTTCTCCATCACATTGACCTGAAGAGACCAGCTGGGATCTTTAGCCAAAGGGTCAGGCCCTGATAGATATTTGGAGAAAGGGTTTGTGGTTACAGGTATAGCTGAGCTTGAGAATCTGCTTCTGAACTGCTCTTTTTCTGGACCTACAAGCAGACATCCTCACTTCCACCTGTACGTTTCTCTGGCAGGTCCCATTGGACAGATTCCATCACCTTCATGTGGGCTCATCCTTCTCGCTTCCCATCTCAAGGTGCTCTTCACCCAATGACTCCATGGCCAGTGACATGTAAGTATGGACCCTGGGTGGTGTTTCATAGCAGTGGATGGCCAACAGTAGATCACGGGGTAATAATAATAACAACACTAGTAGTAGTAGTAGTAGTAGTAGTAGTAATACATTTTGGGGTTGCTGTGTGTTTTCTTGCATCATAGAATGGGGTTGGACTGGATGGTCCTTGGAGGGTCTCTTCCAAATCCATGATAATATTCTATGAAGAACCCATTTGGAATTATGTGTGACCCATCACAGTCTCATGAGAAGGTCAAGAGGGCTTTGGTTGTGTCTTCTTGCATC